TATATATATACTATATATGGCTTCTCAAAAGTGGCTCACCCCTATAACTTTTTTATTTTTTCGGATAAAAAAAATTAGATTTAGTACATTAATTTATGACATAACAGGCAACATGCGATTCGTAACAATTTTATTCAAAATATCAAGTGCGAGGGACCAAATTATTTGTATAAAAATGCCTTTTCCAAATATGCTAATGAGCTACTCTTGTTAAACAAATTTATTTTTCCAAGACTCATTGGTAAAAAATTAGTGTTTTTAACACAGCCATAGTACTCTAGATTGAAATTTAAAATACGATTTTTGTTAGCCGGAATATTAAAACTTAACATGTGATATGTCATTCTATTCAGAGTATCTTTCTATTGAATAAAGTAAAAAAATACCGATGTTGCCATTTAAAAATCAAAAGTTGTACATACAAATGTTATAGGCTTGGTGCATTCTCCGCCGGTGCTGCCACCGCCCGAGAATATCATAAATAACGAACACATACAAATACACGGGTTTAAATGGCGAGTAAACGAAAAAAATAGTATATAATTATTCTAAGTGTTAGAAAGTATAATTTGTGGAAATTCTAAACAAAAAAATAAAAAGGTAAATATTTTGATATCTTCAGAAGGTCTAACTTGTATTATAATTTATTATTCCAGTTGTTAAAAATTATGAGTTCTACGGTAGCGAACATAGTTTTATCACCGGTTTTGCTAGTGGGGCATAATTGGAGCTATTTCGGCTAGAACGCCATTTTTTAAAGGTATATTATTATAATTTTAGATGTTCATAAAACATAATCACTAGTTGATTAAAAAAGTATACCATTAATATTGCAAATTATATTTCATCCTCTCATGGTATGTCTTTAATTTTTTGATTATGTAACGAGCACTTTGTTTACTAACAGAGCTGATGTACTGAGTACAAAAAGTACTTGAAATAAATAATCAGTATTTTTTGTACTTTAAGTATTTTACTTATAGTATTTATAAACTAACGATACTTTTGGCAATTTACTTATTACTTTTGCAAAAAAGTACTTGTACTTGTACTTAAATTTACGATTTTGTTTTAAGTATTACTTTTTACTTGAAAAATGTACTGGAAAAGCTAAATCTACTTAAAGTTCTTTCTTAAAATACTTAAGTATTTTTAGCAGTAAGTACTTAAATGGAAAATACTTAAAGTACTTTTGAAATTACTTTAAGTATCTAAATTTACTTTAAGTATTTTATCAAAAATACTGCAACGCCATTCCATGCCATATTAACTGGACAGTAAACACGCTCAAACAAGTCAAATCTTTGCCACATACGATAGTAACGTGTCGGCTGGCTGCAAATTGCCCTACAGCAGAGCCAACCCTCTAAAACTCAACTAAACCTGTGTCGGAGTTGTAGTTCACTAATACCTGGAACAATTTAGATACGAGTAGGTAAGTGAAATAATATGATTACTATATTTTTTTGTTGGGTTCAGGCCGAGGTTATTAAATTAAACAGGTTGCCTCGTAACTTGACATTTGTCGCCATATTGCGCGTCATCGTGTGGTACTCAGCAGTTTACAAATAATTTTACATTGTTTTCTTAAAGTTTTCCGTGTATTAAGTGCATTTGATAGGTCAGTTTTAGTGGACATAATACATAATATATTTTTTTTAGTTTTAGTGTACTTAACGTATTATAATTGATGAACTAGATAGTTTTTTAAAATTATTTATCAAATTTTCCTTAGAAATAGAGATAATTTCTACCTATAACAGCCTGTAATGTTCAGAATAGTTTTTTCTGAGTGATGTATATTTATAATAAATTATTTCAACTAGGTTTCGATATTTTAACAGTAACAGTAGTAAAAAGGTAAAACTATTTTTTTTCCAATATGAGTATTGCTTAAAAATGTCAAATATCAGCAAAATTAGAGAAAAATAAATAAAGATTTTATAGAAGAACAATTTAACTTGTGTAATTTTTATTATTATTAATCCTTTTGTTAATAGATAATTTAAAAATCCCCGTAGCTGACGTAATCGCGTCAACTGCTGTGATTGGTCCAAAGTTACGAGGCAACCTGTTTAATTAATAACATTGGGTGCAGGCCTATGTTAAAGGTATGCTAATTCACTCTACCGGTACCGGCGCAGGCCGGGTCTGCGCCGCACTGTCCGCTAGTAAAAATTTTTTAATAAAAATTTTTTGAAGCCGCGTAAGCCGTATTATTGTTTTATTTGATCAGAATAACGATGTTATATGAAGAAATTTTTTAAAAATCTTCTATAATAACAAAAACGTGTATAATGAAAAATAATACTAATATTTATATTTTATAATGATAGAAATCATGGAAGTTGAGCATGATTTATTTGAAGAGAATTCGTCTTCGCCAGAGGACTCGGATCGGCCGGACCCGTTCCCGGTCCAAATATCAGAAGACGAGGACGATGACTCAAATTATACCCCCAAGACAACAAAGAAAAAGGTGTTGCCTGATTATTTTGGAGTAAGGAATAAAACCCTAAGCCAAATTTTACAAAATGAACCAAGTCAAAATCAAAAACCAGAGCAGTTTAGAGATGGTCAAAATAATTTGCTTCTCGAAAAAATACAAAGCAACCCTCTTTTAGATGGAAAATTCTATGAAGTTGCTGGAAAGGTAAATATTTTTATTTGGATTCTAGGGTGTTGGTAATTTTAACGTTTATGTGATTAGAATTTACACAATTACACTACACATTAGTTCTTTTCTCACTTTGGGGTATTTTCGAGGGTATTTTTTTACGAATACGTTAGCCTTAGTTTTCAATAATGTCTCAATCTCAATAACATAGTAGACATAGAGATGAATTGAATGTTTGTTTATTGATTTGTCTCGAAAATCTCAATCTCTCAAAGCACCCAATTAACTTTCGGCATCGCGCTGATTATTTTTTTAATACCAATTTTTTTTCTTCTAGGTAACGGATGCTAACCACATTCAAGCCGAATGTAAAATGTGTTTACCAAAAAGAAAAATAATTAAAGGTTCTCTATTGATAACAACGAATTTCTTAAAACATATGAAAAACAAGCATCCGGAACAAAACAACGAGTACAATGCGTACAAACAAAAAAAGAAACGAATTAACGAAGGCAAGAAACGAAATTATGCTGAAGGTATAGAGTCCGCGTCATCATCCTCTACAACAGTTTCATTAAGTAAATCTAAGGTACCACTTAAACAAGGGCAGATTTCATTTAGGCAAACTAAAATTACCCAAAAAACGTTTGATGAAAGAATAGTTCGTTTCATTGTGGAAACTATGTCTCCAATTTCTTTGGTATCGCATGAAAGTTTCGTAAGAATTTTTGAGGGAATGGACGTTAAAGTTATGAACAGATTTGCTGCTATTCAGAAAATTGATGGTCATTACAAAGAAATGATTAATAAAATAATAGGGCAATTATCTATTTGTAACTATGTCTGCACAACAGCTGACATTTGGTCCTCCAAAAAGAGAAGTTTTTTAGGCGTTACATGCCACTGGATAGACCAAGATTTATCAAGGCAATCCGTCGCTTTAGCATGTCGTAGATTTGAAGGCACTCATTCTTTCGACAAAATCGGGGAACTGTTGGATGAAATTCACAGAGGCTATAATTTGGATAATACAAAAATTTTAGCCACTGTTACCGATAACGGGTCAAATTTTGTTAAATGTTTTAAAGAATTCGGAATACATATACTTGATTCACAACATAATGTTGATGGTAATGATGATCAAACTCAAGAGGGGGAGACCGAAGAATCTTTGCCAGAGTTTGAAAGCATAATTGAGTCAACTGACTCAGAGAAATCATTTTCACAAACTAGACAATTTTTGCCGGAACATTTACGGTGTGCTTCACACACAATTAATTTAATTGCTACAACGGATTATAATAATTCATTAAAATCATCACATCAACTTAGAAGCAAAAACTGTTTAGTTTTCAACAAGTGTTCTAATTTGTGGAATAAAGCACGGAGACCAAAATCAGCAGAAATAATGCAAAAGATTTTAGGTTGCAGTCTAAGTTACCCCGGTGTAACTAGATGGAATTCCACTTATGATGCGGTAACAAAAATTTTGTCTTTAAAAGAAAAGATGCCAGAACTTTGCGATGCACTTTTGCTGCCAAGTTTTACTGAAAGTGAAATATTATTTTTGACAGAATATACAACAATTATGAAACCTCTTGCAGAGACTCTTGACTTTCTGCAAGGCGAACAAAATACATATTATGGATATTTTCTTCCCAGTATTATATCAATGCACACAAAACTTGAGAAAATTAAATTGTCTGGTACAATCGCACAGCTATCTAAGTCCTTGGATTATATTTTGAACTCTATTCGTGAACGATTCCATCATGTTTTTACCTTGCAATCCAAGATAGCCATTATAGCAGCAGTAACCAATCCTAGATTTAAAATGAGATGGTTGAGTGCATTCAAAGATACTGATATTCAAGTAACAGCAAAAGATATTCAATCTTGGATATCGAGTAGTGCTTTGGCGTTTAAAGTATCATTTGAGTCGGACTTGACAGCCCAAGAAGAACTCGAAGATGCGTTTTTTGATTTTAATGATGAAAACCAGGTTAATACTTCTTCCGATGCGGCGATAAAGCTCCAGTCTACTGATACTTTTCACAACCAGTTTGAATTTGAATTTCTCAAATATCTGAATGATAAAAGGACCACCTTGTTAATGCTAAATGAATACAATATTGTTAAACAGTTATTTATTAAGTATAACTGTATTTTACCGTCATCTGCCCCCGTGGAACGATTATTCTCTTTCGCCGAAATTATTAATGCTCCTAGACGCCATGCGTTAAGTGACACCAATTTTGAAAAGTTGGTACTACTCAAAAGTAACAAACACGTATTCTAGAAAAAATATTTAGTTATTTATTTTTTTGTTTTTTTTTTCAAAATATCCTATATGATCCAAATTTTAATCCTGATAAAATGTATTTTGTTTTTATTATTTAGATATTTATTTTGTTTTGTTGTTTTTTGTTCAAAGTATCTTAAAATATCCTAATTTTAATTATAATAATATGTATTTGGGTTAGGTACCTATACCTACTTTAAAATAATGTTAGTCTTCAAAGACATTGTGTGTTATTGCCATACTCATTTTCTCATGTCATGTGTTATGTATAGGATTTGTTACCTATCTATATAATAATATGTTTGTTTTACTTATTTCGATGAATAAAAATGTGAATAAAAATGAGTTTTTTATTTTTTATTAGTAGGTAGGTAGTAAGGTAACATATGTATGTCGTCTCGTATATGAGCAACAAACAATGATTCTACTGGTTCGGGTATGAGTGGTAGTGGTATATAAGTCAAAGTAAAAATTTTAATGTCTTCGAAATGAAGCTGACACTGCTTTCACTCAAAACTATTTGTTTGGCTGACGTGTATACTAAAAACTTGAGTTAAGTACTTGAAATTTCAAAATACTGAATCTTTAAAAGTACTTAAGTATTTTTAATATATTTTCAGTACTTAGAACTACTTCAGTATATTGAATTTACTTTAAGTATTTTTAAGGTATGTACTTACTACTTATACTTGAATAATTGGTTTTAAGTAAAATAACATAAAAAAAAAAAAAAAAAATACTTATAATTTAATATTGTAAGTAGATTTGGAATTTCAATTACTTAATAATTCTATTATTTAAGTACATCGGTGTAACACTTATCACAGCTCTGTTTATGGCAAAATTGTTCATGAGTTAGTACCTCATGCGAAACCTTGGTTCCGTCTAATGAATAAAAGTAGGCAGAGGGAAATCCTGTAGTATATGAAGTTATGGAGGTATTCGTATTTGGCCAAGTTGCCATGGATAGTACGCTGAGTACAAGAAAATTAGCCAATGCAAAATTAGCCAGCGTGAATCGCAAAATCTGTAGTATCCAAAGGATATTAAGAAAACACAAGGTCCACCCGTACAAAATTCAGTTGGTAAGAACTCAACGAAGACGATTTTGACTGTCGCTTCGTACCTTGTGAAACTGTGAGTGAAACGAGTGGCGAATGATAATAATTTTCATTTAATGCGGGTAATTAACTTGTTTTTATTAAAATAAGGATAACTCTGGTTTAGGTTGTCCGATTTAAACAAATTAGGGCTCATTATAAAAGAGCTTTTCTTTCTTAATAATCTCCAGTATAAATTTAGTATCCATAGATTTTTTCCTGGTAGCTAGAGGACGCTGATTAGCATCATAACAGATATTACGTTTTTGCATAAAAAATAAATAGAAGGTTATGTTTCTTTTAGCACAGTTAAATAGAGCACGAAATTTCCAAAATATCATATGTAATGGAAATATGCCGCTCCAGCGTTTTTATCTACTATAGTAAGTAGTAACCAAGAAGCCCCACACATTCGTAGCGAAATAAGCTGCACAACCTCACCAACTGAACCGCCATACTGAAATGACAACAAATGCAATTTCGTCATGGTGGATCCTCTAACAAAATTGCCAATTCCTCTCTTAGAAATTGTGAATAGTTCATTCCATTCAGATGATTCAAAAAGTCCAATCATTCGCCGTCTTAAAATTCCTGTTCAAACATTTACCGACCAACGGTCTTGGTCCTGAACTACTCGCGTCAAGTGCAGATTTAGACCAGTAGTGCATATTGATAAGATTCGCACCTTCGGTGCTATATGAAAAGTGACACGAAGATCGTAAACTTAATAATAAAAAAATAACGCAAACAACCGGTAAATATCAAAAACAAGTAAAATTAAGGTCGAACTTGGATTAATAACTAATTGACGTTAGCATGAAAATAAACCGACGTTAGCATAAAAAATAAATTTAATAATAAAATACGAATAATAAACATTTAAATAAAATTATTGATTGCCCGACCTTTCGGAAATTTGAATGTGACAATTATTTCAATAAAATTGACCAAGAAATATACAAAAATGTATGGGGATGAACGATAATGTTACATAAACACGTTTATACATTTATGACGTCATTTTTTTCTCGGAATACGTCCGAAATTCAGATGTATGAAAACTAAACTAAAACATTATGATATTTTGACACAACCAATTTACGTCTTTTTGTTTCCTAGCCTGCTGCTATAATTTTTAGACCTTATAAATCTATGCGGCAGCCTAAAATGATTTGATCATCGCCCGTGAGAGAGAAGATAAAAAGTAACGGTTTGCGCTGTTATCTTGAAAATTTTGTGCTCTGTTTAACTGTGCAAAAATAATGATAACCTGCTATTTAATTTTTTTATGTAAAAGCGCAATATCTGTTCTGATGGCAAACAGCGAAAAAATATATGGAAACAATATATTTACTGGAGATTATTCAGAAAGAAAATCTCTTTTAAGCGTGCCCTAGTTTGTTTAAAACGGACAACCCAAACCAGAGTTATCCTTATTTTAATAAAAGCAAGTGTAAGTATCCCCGACCACTTTATTTTATGAGATAGAGCAAAATATACGCTATATCAAAAAAATTACAAATTTCCCATTGATTACGACAGCAATATTTATAATACCTCTTCACCTGCCTATTTTTGAGAAAAATCCTGTTTTCTGTTTGGTCTTCATAGATGCGCCCCCTAGTGGACATTTTCCGAACTTGAAAATAATTTCCAGCGATTTTTCTTGGTCGATTTACTTATTACAATTTTTTTCCCAAAGGTATACGATAAGAAGCTTCTGAGATATAGCCGGCGTCCATTCTTAGTTTGCCACCCGGTACATGAATCTTTTTTATGCTTAGTTAACTAATAAATAAGTCGATTTGTTTCAATTAAAACTATTGAGATACTTCAGTACGAATCGCCTTCTGAATATTTATTGCCACTGCCCGTTGGTTGAATAAATCCTTAGGCAGTTTACGGTATGTTCACAGGCGGAATACTTAATAAATAAGAAGCACGATTGGCAGGGAATTAAGATAAGAATTAAATACTGCACCGCATTCGCTATCCACAACGTGCTTACGGAACAAGTGATTTAATAAAAATATATTGTTAAATTCTTTTTTCTTTTTCATTCCCTTTTTTACAGTTCTATAAGGGAAATTAAAACAACTTTCGTTGCACGTCATCAATGACACCATGCGTCGTCCTTATGGAGTTTGCTGGTGGTCGTATTATGATATGCAATCAAAGTTATTTTAATTTCCCTATATTTAAATTTTAGTATATTAACCCCCGGTGTTTTCACGTACGGATAGCGTGTTATAATCTGCCAGATATATTTTATTTGACGGATAGCAGAAAAACGCGTATCTTCACCTATAGATAACAGTATCTATTAGATAAATTAAACTTATCTCCCAGATATCCTATCTGGCGTCCGAACTGCCAAATAGTGCTTTATTTGTCGGATAAAAATTTGACGCATGAGCAAAGGCATGAGGAGATATTGATTTTATTTGATATTTGACAAAATTTCTTAACATAACCAAGACATTGTTATTATTGAAGATTTCGTTTATTCCAATAAATTCGATTTTAGATTATTTGAAAAAGACTTTCCTATTCTGAGTAGTATGTAGGCTATAATCATTTTTAGAACGTATGGGGTATAAACACCAATAAACACATTGAAATGGTGCAAAAACTATTGTTGCTAGTGCCGGACTTTATAAGGACTGTTACAAAATAAAGAGAGTCTCTGTTCTGTTAGAGCATCAGAACGAAGAGAATGCATTAAGTTAGGATAATAGTGATAAAACAGTAATTTATAAATTATTTTATTTAAATCCTTTCAATTATAAACCATTACTACATATTATATAAAATGCTGATGTTTATCTGTGTCGTGTCTACTGAAGTAACGACTTGTTCTAGAAAGTTGCTTTTTTTACTGAAAGATAGCTAAATGGCTCTTCTAAAAACTGTCGTCGCCGGATTTTTTGTTTTTCATTTAATTAAAAAAAATAAAAAGTATTTCTTTTTCCTGATCTCGTGGCGGATGCGTCAGGCTTCAACTAGTTTTTAATAAAGCTCCAAAATAGGTAAAAAATAAATAAAACTTTTTAAATCAAACTATTTATTTCATTTTTAATTCGCATATCATTCATTAATATTATAACAGGAACCTTATAAACCTGTATTTCATTTTTTAATTCCGCATATCTTAATTCATTAATATTATAACCCAGGAACCTTATAAACCTGTTATTCAACTCACATTGCTTTTATTTCTTTTGTGTTACAATTTTAGTTTAATTTCTTGCACTATGTACCTTATACCGTATGATCGAAAAAAAACGGCGTTAAGTTGGCTCGGGAAATGATGATCGATGATATTTCCCATATAAATTTACATATGAAATGACAGCAATCTTTATTTCCATAGCCATTGCTGACGCCGTTTTTCGATCATACAAGTACATCTTTTTCTCCATGCTGTTTTTAGACAAGATTTTCTTTATTTTTCTTTTTTTTTTTGAAGTTCCATCACTTGGGTTCTTAAAATAAAAAGTAATATGACAAAATTGTTTTTATTTAATTTTTTTATTAAATAAATTTGTTACATATAATGTGTAAATGTAACAATTATTATAGGAATTTACTATTCATTTATTATTATTAAGACAAAGTATAAGTGCATTTATTTATTTTATAAAATAAAACTCACCTTAATTACTATCATTGATGCTATCCTACCTATTTCTTTACTATGAGAAGCCCTAGAACAACATATTTGTTATTACTAACAGTCTTATGCTATTTTAATTTTCAATATTAATAACTTACCAGATGGTGGTTTTAGGATTGGTTTATAAATCTCTGCTTTTGCACTTCACCAGCTTCTTCCATATTTTCTATTATCAATTGTACTAAAATGTTAATATAATAAATATAACAGTAATATCATGTAATTAAACTATAAATTACTTACAGATTATTTTTTTTGTTTTAATTTCTTATAAATCGCATTCCATCAATAGATCTATTGCACCACCACCACTGCTGAAATTGAATTATCTTTCCCTTTTTCCATAAAGGTAAATTTAAATAGCCTATACCATAATAGGACTAGTTGGAGTTGAACACAAAATATATTTTAGTTGAATTTTATTGTTTTTATTTTCATTTTGACGCTCTTTTGACAACTGAACAATAACCTGACTTTTTAATCTAACGATTTGAAATTCCGAGTTTCTGTCTCTGTCTGTTGTATCGACTTTTCATATTATAACCATCTCAATTTCAGATATCTTATATTGGCAACACTTTCTCTACGGAGTGTCTACCGGTCCGTAGGCGGCCGTCCTCCAAATTGTTATCTATTGGATTATTTTGTATGAAAATACCCAAATGTTATATCCTATAGATATCAGGCTCTAGATTGTTTACCTTTTAGATGGTTATTTGTTAGATAAAAGTAATTTATTTATAACTGAAGAGACCGCGCCTAAGTATATCTTAATAATAATTGTAACATAAAATAAATTTAAGGAAGTAAAAGGTACCAATAATTCATAATTACGATCCCTAGGTAACAACTTCGGTAACAACTAAATATTCGGACAAGCAAACGATTATTCAAAACTTTAATTTACACAAACTGAATTATTAAAT